GAGCTGTTCCTTGAAATGTGTTTGTCCACAACTCGTCGCATTCTTTCCATCTTCTTTTTGTCGAAATCTAAAAAAAAATTTTGTTCTGTCTGTCACGTTATACGTCGTCTGTGTACACTTGCATGCGAATATATAATATAATGGATTTGACAAATCACTGTTGTCGAACAAATCGAACAGGTACCGTGTCATTCTTGTCACTCGATCATGCGAGCATTTGACGTTTCAATACGGGAACAAGTTTTCGATTCTGGTCAGTGAAATCGGCCTAAACACGAAGGGATTACCTCGGTCTCAGGGCTTACACGCGATTATTCAGTCGAAAGATATTCGGTTTAGGAAAAATAACCTCCGGTTCGTGTTACAGATTCGCACCTTCTCTATCGGAAATAGTCTAAATTCGGATCGAGTTCTACGAATTCACCGACTGAAAATTCCAAATGCCTACATATGACATGTAAAAGATTCACGGATTCGTATTTTCCCATGTAAGAGCAAATCCTAGGAAGAAAGCATGATTCTGGCTGGGGGATTATTTTCGATTTTTCGAAGGTTTCACGAGATTGACACACGTGAGCGCAAAAGATTAGGCATATTTTCATGATGTTCAGTGGCTCCAACCGATATTTTGAGGAGGACGCGGCCATATACGGGCCATTTGAGGGCTGGAGAGCGCATTCTCAGGGGTGTTTCTCGAACACACTCGTTGCACAATGTAACACTATCCCCCTTTGGTATAGAAGAACAGCCTTGAAGTGTCTTTAATGCGAAACCGAGCGGCGTTCATGTATTATTTTGTCGTGAATAATCCCTTTATGCACGGTAAAGAGGCTTGGCGCGGGTCTTCAAGACGAAGTATCTACTACTTCTACCCGTTTGCGCGAATGAGCACGCTACATCGGTGAAGAATGGAAAGCGATTCGACAGCCTCGAGCGACCGCAATGTATGCAATCATCGAGATGAACGCTCGCAGGAGACACGGCTTCGTCCATTTGACACAACGAAATTCGTTCGAACAAGATTTACTCGATAAATTGTAGCTTATCGGAGGCTCGAGGCTTGTAATGATCAAGAATTGAAAAATATTTCTCCTTCGGTCGTTTAATTTCGATAAGTAAGTGCTGCGGGGAATCTGGATACTGTCAATTGTAAGTAAAAGTAATAATAGGGAACAGCAATATACAGCATATAATTAAGTATGCAGCATTATACAGCATATAATATAATTAATATAGCAATATACAGCTACTTGTTAGGGTAATGTATGGTATTTTTTTGCGATATTATGCGAATGTCGGATAAATTTGATATTCGTAGGGAAGAGAACGGGAGAGATCATTGAGATGGGGCAGTTTCAGTGACCCTAAGCTGTTTTGGCACGCGTCGCAAATGCCTGTGGCCGCTCGTTAGTATTCATTGTCCCTTCGGGTGTCTTTGCTTTGGCTAACCTCTATTGAAGGAAATTTACGGTCCATCTGCGGATACTTATACAGGAAGTGTGATCTAACGTGTTTCGTACTTAGCTAACTTTCTTTTGAAGAATCTCTTACGCATGTAAATATACGAAGTAATGCCCAAAATTCGATATAATTAGCCCTCTATAAGTGAACATATTTTTCTATTACGTTATAATAAAATTTTGTTGTTTGATCACAAAGTAGTATTGAAATAAAAAAATCAATAAAAATGTACTTATCTTGTCTCTTTCCTGTAATCTTCGTATATGATATCCTGAAGGAATTGCATGTGATTAACAAATCTCTATCTAAAATCATCTCCTTGTTTATTTCTATTTAGAAACATATGAAAACGCATGGAAATTTCCAAATCTGATCCTGAAAGATCCACACTTTGCCTACGATTGATTGCTTCGGAAACCACAGATTTTAACTATTCATCCTACTTTTAAAAATCAATAGTATAACTTGTGTTTTCATCTTTTCGGTTCAAATATTTCTTTATCAAAATCGATCAAACGCGACTCAGTGCTGAGACTGGTCGCCGAATTTCGTTACAATTGAGCGTTTTGCAGGCACGGTCACTGTTTTCTACTGTCGAATGAGGTCCTGAAGTGTCTTTAGTGCACTCGGTAGCGCGACGTTCAATGGTCGCCGCTCACAAATGCACAGCGGGGTGTCCGGCTCTCTTGAGATTCGCTACTCGATACGACCGTCGTTCCCCAACCAGGAAAATCGTTGTCGATCGTTGGACAATCTCGACTACGTACCTCGGATCAATACTTTTTCCGTCCTGCAACAATTTAATATGTTTATTGCTGTGAGAATGTTACGTTCGGATAGGTGGTAGATTTTTATCTGGCCCCGTTGCCTTCTAAGCTCGCGCCGAAACTCGTCTCAGTTGTTGGAAAAGTCGACTCCGAATTGGCGCCGCCTCTTGACTTTTCTCTCGTTCCCTTCCGCTTCCTTTTTTTCGCATGTTTCCGGAAAGAAGCTGGCAATTTTTTTGGCACGCGTCCAAAATGCAACATTCAAGATTTACTTTATAATATCGAGTTGTCCGTAGCGAACAGGAGAAAATCAAGGATATTCTAATATTAACAAACTAGAACTACAATTAAGACTCCAAAGCGATCGATTCAATTCGTCAGTTTGTATTATGAGTGGTTTATCAGGAAGCTAATCAATTTTTGAAGTAATAAGATTGCGTTAACGAATGAATTGTATAATAAATTTGGTGGAATATTAATTTTGTACTTTTAGCGAATACATCGAATTAATGTGGTATTTGTACTTTGAAAATATATATTTTCATATATTTTTATAAAACGTATATTTACTTATGCGTATGTATATAGCGCGAAGAAAGATCGTACGGGTTTCGAAAGTTTGGGAAATTGCTTAGAATTTTGGATCAGGGTAAGTTGTATTTTAATAACGTTGATAAAGAAGCGTAGGGGGATAGAACCACCGAGTGTAATGCAATCCTTCCTCGTGCCATCTATGGACGAGGAAATTGATTAAACGGAACGCTTTAATATTGCTCAGAAGCGTAAACGATAAATTTATAAAATATTCTGTAAAATAATATTAAGTATCATCTGTGAAAGGTATATAAGATGTGTCTATTTTGTCGAGATATTTAAATATTTCTTTATATGTGCCTATCTTGAACAACTCGATCGATTAAAAATAATCAATGAAATTCTTCGTAAGGATAAAATTATGTGTAACTGAAATATAACATTTTCTATATATTAAATTATTTATTGTAGGGAAAATGTCAAAAATAAATAGAAACGTGAAAATGGGATTCAGAATTACCGACAGTCAACCACAAGACGCGGAGGAAAAGAAAATCGATATACCCGTGGTAGATAATGCAGAATCGAGGTGAATGTCGAATGTGGTTGGATCGATATTTTCAATATTTTTTATTAATCAATTTAAAATTTAGAAAAGCCTAAAACGAGAAAATACAAAGTCATTTTTACGATATTTAGGAAGCAATTAGTAGCCCGTATCGAGAACATTACTTCATCTATAATCCAACAGATATGTTCGGGTCGATTACCACAAATTTCATACTCATCAGCACGGAATTATGCTACGGTAGACACGCATACTGCCGAAGACAATGATCTCGAGTCGGAATTTCACGAAGAACCTGATCAGAATTCCGAAGAAATCGAAAGAAATGAAATAAGAACGGTGATCAACTTTGCTACTAAAAGAGGCAAAGACAAGTTTGCTTTAACGATGACCGTGATGGCTGCTGCGCATCGTTTGCTAATTATAAACTCGACCATTACAAGACGATCTCTTTATTACGACCTGAAAAACGATAAAACGTTGAATTTAGTTCCAGAACAGTGGTATCTGGATCAGGCTGTGAATCATGTGGCTAATTTACTAAACTGTTCGCCATGGGAGCTCAGTAAGTGTTTAATGAATTTAATCCAATTTCAAGGGATTTAATAATTATTATATTTCTTATTCTATTTAATTACGTCAATCTTTGAACAATAAGAATAGAAAAATTATTAAAAATCTGTGAAAGTTTAAAAATAATTTGTTTGCGAGTAGCAATCGATAATAAAGCAGAAATTACTAGAAATCTATCAGAAATTAATTTTTGCGTGATTATTGTATATTACATTATTATTACATTATTGTATTTTGTACGAAATATTAATTATCTAGATTTGTTGCCAACATCAAAGGGATTAGTAGCTGGTGAATTGACGTTCACTCTAACTAACAATCGTATTATCGATTGCACGGTGCCCGGAGGTGTCCTTATTCCGCACAATATATCAGAGGTAATTTCCGTTCGCACCAGGGCCAAAATGGTGTTGATTGTCGAGAAAGATGCTGTCTTTCAAAAATTGTTAAAGGATGATTGTACCTCTTCGTTGAGCTGCATTCTAGTCACGGGAAAAGGGTATCCGGACGTGACTACAAGAATGCTGGTTAAACTGCTGTCCGAGAAATTGGAACTTCCGGTTTATATAATCGTGGATGCAGACCCTTTCGGTGTGGACATCATGTGTGTTTATCGGTAAATCAATGATCAGATGATATGATGAAAATTGTAAAGTTTCAAAATTGTAAAGTTTTAAAACTGTAAAGTTCAAAGAAACTTCTAAATAAAAGGAGGGAAATAAAATTGAGAAAGACGATCAAATTTAGAAATTTTTATTTTAAAATAAACTGATATTTTTTACTAACAAATACTCAAGAAAGAAAATAATGAAACATGTATATAAGGTCATTTATTAAACGTTTATCAAATTTCTTACACAACCGCGGAAAAAGAGAAAATATTTCCAATAGAAGTTGAAGAAGATTGAAAATGCACAGAGATCGCACGATAAAATTTCTTTCACGTTTTTCTGAATTAGTTTTGGCTCGGCTGCGTTATCCAGAGAGAGGAAATGCTTGGCCTGTTCGAAGGTACGCTGGCTAGGAATACATCCATCGGAATTGCTCGCTCTGGGAGTGAATACCGTTCCCCTCACGGAATTCGATTTCTCGAGACTGATGGCTCTCGAAGGCAGGCCTTATATGACCGACGCGTTTAGGAAAGAACTTGAAATTATGCGAACTGGTAAAGCGGAGATAGAGAATGTGTATTCCTCCTCGGGAAGATTTCTAGCAGCCACCTATTTACCTTGCAAGATCAAAGGCAACGATTATATTTAACATTGCTGAATGATACAGGATGACTCATAATTAAAAATGTACGTGCAAATTGTAGATCGATTAGATTGATCGAGAAGTTTTGCAATTTTTGTTCTTTGAAAAGAAAAAATTAATTGCTTTTACTGAAATTTCTGTTAACCTACTCAGGATGAAAATGATAATGCAACGATTCAATCGTCGTTTCTGTTTAGTCAATTTACATTATTGAGTTTCATCGAATTCACATTGTAATTACGAAAAGAAATTTCTACGGTATTTTTCTCTTTGCCATTTGTCCTCCCGTGTAAGTCGTACAATCGAAATTTTAAAACATTGAACTTTTCGATCAGCCGAATATTTTATATCTTAATTTTATGGAAGAGAAATCGTACCATTAATAATACTTGAAAACAAAAATACCTCTTAAATGGACGATTAGTCTGTTGGATTTTCAATTTTGTTGCACTGTGTCTGTAACAAGATTTGTTTTTCTATTCATCAATTTATACTTAACATATCGTCTGCTATATAAAGCCATGAGAAATATAATGTTACCACGAAGCTTGGAGATTGGATTTCGTCCGGTTTTGCTACTTGCTCCCGATAATCGTCATTGCTGTCTTCTAAATTTATTAATTCGGGAACGTTTCGAAACGTTCCCAAATAAATAATACTGCTATCCGATGATTGTTTCGAAATAACCAATGATTCATTCGAGTCTGGTACTGTGATTGTATTTCGTTGACTCTTCGATCTCGTCGCATAAATATGATCGCATAACCTTAATGTAACAAAATTATGAAATATTCGTCTCGAAAGTCTTTCATTTTAATAATCGATAACCATCGGTAACATTTAATAAGATATTCTCTTTTCTGATAATTCAATCAAATAATTTACCTATGATTACCAAACGATGGATGAAGCTCCCGTTTTTTATTTCCTTGAACACTCAGCCATTTACGTGTAGTCTTCTTGCGGGGTCGTCGTAGAGACATAATTTTAATTCTCGAAAAGCTTCGTCTGTATAAAATACCCTGAAAATATTATCCTAAAATCTTTTCGGTATTATTTTGGTATACATTCCTTCCAGAACTATGATGTTAATTAAAAAACAAAAGCGAATAGTCGTTATTTATGATATACGATAACCGGAAGTTGTGTATGTTTCAGATTCGATGGAACGAAAGAAAACAACAAGATTTCAGGTAATGTAACAGTTTATTGAAAACACTTTTGATCGCCCGTGGTCAGGGCCGAGTCTCGCTGATATTAAAAAACGCAGAGTCTTAGTAACATGATTATCTCGTGGGTGTTACGTGGAATTATAACGATATCCGCGAAATCGGCGTCTTTAAACGATTACAGGAAGCCTCCTTGAAAATTGATTTTACAACAGTGGTTACAAACGAAACTTTATTCTTTAAGGTAGGAAATATTCTTTGCAGGTATTGAAAATTAATCTTTAACACGTTGAATCACATTATGAAACATATTTGATTACTAGAAAAATAAAACGTACGAATATACAACTCTGTTTGTAATATGTGGTCATATTAAAAATCTGGAAAATAAACGTATGTAGTAAGGGAAAATATTCATTTATTTTGACCATTACGAAATGCTATGAAACTAAAAACTTTGATCTATTCGAAATTCCCAAAGCAATAATCAAATATTTTGTGTGAATATTTTAACAACTCATCGAGCGAGGAATTTAGAAATTGCCAGAAAAAATAGCTTCGAAAAATAACAGATAACACATGGAATATCCTAATATAGATGTATAATTGAATATTAGAAAATGAAATCAAAGACACGACATTTTCGATCATCCAACGTGCTATCACAATAGTTTGCGTTTCACTTATGGGATACTTCGTTGAAACCGATTGAAAACGATCGATTGTTTGGCGTGGCCGATTTCGTGGATGTTCGGTCTCCAGGTCCGTGCGAATATCGTAAAAAACCGAGTGGAAACAATCCGCGTGCCCTCGTTTCCCACGAGAAACTATCGAGAACGCCTCCCTGTCTCTCGATAACGATAATTCACGGCACTCTCGCATAGTCGCTCGCTTGATGATCCGAGCGAATTATTATTATTATAAAAAACAATTGTCCGAGCGCGTTGGCCACACTCGCGAAGCACGATTGAATTCAACGAGTCGCTGGCCAATATTCGACTCAACGCTTCCGAGTATGTTGATCGATTAAACCGAATCTTTGATCATTCAGACGTCGTTTCGAGTTGGCTCGCCTGATGCGATTCACATCGAGGAGTCTGATATACATAAAACGTCGTGACGAGTAGGCCACTTCCGGAAATCAAGTCCAAGCTCTCGACGATATGAACATCGATACGATTGATTATTTCCTTTGATGTGAGATCGAATTATTAGAAAAAGTGTGAATAAATTTTGAATCAAATTCGATCGTCGAATATAGTAGTGAAAATTGTATTTTAACCCTGACATCGAATATTTAAATATCGACGTGTTAGAGTAGTTTAACGAACAGTCTCACAATGAAACATTAAAGAGTATAAGTAAGAAATAGTACTTTCAACAGCTAGAAATTCTAATATATTTAGATAGATAACAATTCGATAACAATACCTTGTCGTTCAAGAACCCTGAAGGCTTTGAATATCGTTTACTATTTATTAAGTGTACATCGATTCTCGTGGAGAAGCTTGGACTTAGTTCGGAGCATGCGTTACTCGAACAATTTCGTTTATCGATACCTTATCTATTAATACCTCGATGTTCGAGTGTTATCCGATGACGTTAAAAACGCGTGAAATACCGTCTAATCCGAATAATAATCGTCAATCTGAGTATCACAGATTATCCAAATTAATTTCAAATAGTCTCCTTATTATTATTATCAGTAAATTTTTGTTCTCCCATTACGGATGATACAAACGCTCGCGATTTCTTTTTCATTTTTTTTATTTCTTTCTCTTCTTCTTTCTTCTTCTTCCTTTTTTTTCTTCTTCTTCTCTTTATTCTTGTATAATTTTCTATCGTCATCTCGAAATAGTTGCACGTCGACGAGCGATTTCGCGTGGTCGGACAGGCGAATACATTCGTCGACATTGTTCGCATAAATTCGTCCGAGTGTTCGCACGGGCCCGATATATTAAACTCGAGTTTCCGCGTCAATTGCAATCTGCATGTCCTGCGTATGTGTCTTCTCTTTCTTTGTGTGTCGCATTTTACTTTTTTTTTTCTCTTTATTGTATAATATATATATATTTTCTTTTTTTTTATTTTTAATTAATTCTCTTTAGCCTAGCGGCGATAATACGTTACCAAAAGCTTATAGATACCCTTATGCGCTGCTACCAAGGTTTCATTTATTTATTTATTTAATTTTCTTGCGATTTAATTTCACGTAATTCGCATGCTTGCAATTCCCTCTTGTTCTCCTTTCTTCTTATCGCTGTTTATAATTGTTATTTGCCATTGTTTCTTTCTTTTCTTTTTTTTTTACTGCTTGCGTGCCTGCCGAGTTCGTGAGACCGATTATCTATATGCCTACAGTTAAAGTTCGCCGCACTTTTTTTTGCCATTTAATTATAAGTTAATAATTGATTGCGATTGCACGCTCACACTCTCATTCATTCTCACTACCTCACATTCTATCTCTCTTTTATATTCGCGTTCACGCTTCTCCCTTCGTGTTTCTCGAGTTTTACTAACCCTTTCTCTCGAATTCATACGCGAGAAAAGTTGCTCACGAAAACGAACAAAAAACAGAAAAAGAAAAATGAATCTTTTACAACATGATCTAACAATAATGCGTCTGTCCTTGTCGCGCAATCCGTTTAGAAAGGATCCAGCGAAACATTTTCTAAGGAATTGCGACGTTTCTTCTCGTTCTCACGAATGCAGGATGATCTCCGCGTCAAATGGCGCCGTTATATTTTATTTAGTATCCTTCCTGGAAAAAATATTGAGGCTACGTTGATTCGAATATATTTTTTCGGGCCGTGGAAGAAACGTTCGTGGATTCGAGGGTAGACGTTCAGGTGAATAATTGGTGAGGCAATTCCTTAGCCAGGCGCTGTTACACCTTTTGTACTCTCTACGATCGACATCAAGCACGTAATTTCAATCTAATCGATTTGCCACGTCTACTTATCCGTCCACGCGCAAATGTGGATCTCCTCGACGAGAATTCTTTTCATACGTTGGACATATTTCTAACAAGTTTTTCTCTTCCTGTGGTTTCCTAATTTCTTTCTTTGTATCTCGTCGAGGCCCTCAGCCACGCAGCCTGACGCGGACGAACCACATCGATCACTCATCTAAGAATTCATTAATTATTATTAGGTAATTTCTTCATCCTCTCCGTTTCTATTTATTATCGTTTGATTAGTTGCACTAGCCTTGATTGTCGGCATTTAAGGGCTGCTGGGCAGGCAGCGTTTTATGGCGACGTGCGACTCTCTTCGTTCGAGCGCGACATATTTTGTGTTCACTTAGTTTTCTCTTATCCTCTTAATCAACTGTGAAAGGAGTCTCGTCTCGATCGGACTCGCGAGCGAAAAATATCCAAGTCTCTCAACCCTTTCGCTACGTTTATCATCCGGATGAGGAATAATTCGGAAGAAGCTTGAATCGATGGCACGGTACAAATTTCAAAAGACACATAGAGGTACTAATTATATTCGTTAAGTAACGGATCTTCGAACAAACGAATCACCGGAGCGGGTTTTTTTGGTAGCGAAAGGACTAACGAAAGTGTTCTGAAAACAGATCTCGGGAGTTCGATCGATCTCGAACGATTATCCTCCAACATCAACCGCGTCTGAACGAACATCGATCATTAACACGTCGATCGAGAGTGTCCTTAAGCCACGAAGATCCGAAGGCGCATTCAATTTTGACTTTGTCAGGACACTGCACATGATCGACGTTGATCGAGAAAAGGAATACGATAAAGGTTCGTTACCCTTGACGAGGTTCGTCCTCTCGAACGAGCTAAAGTATATGGTGAACCTGTAACGTTATCCTAAAGCCTCGCGTCGCTTAACTTACTTAACGATAGTTAGTTAATCTGGAAACTGTGTGTTTATAGTACAACTTAGCGATATAGTACAACAAACGATCAACGATAAACGGGAACACTCGCGAACCTCGTCGAGGGGAACGTGTCCTGCATCAAGGGATTCATCGAGAGACGTGCATACGGATATATACAAATATTCAAGGATCGAATGTGAAGTTTGGCAAAAAGGGATCAGGTCGATAAAGGGTTAGGGAAATACATTTTTTCTCTTCCCTTTCTGTTGTCTTCTTTTCCTTGCTTTTACGCGCAAGTAACATTATGGTACATAGACTAGGCGCAAAGCTGTACAACACAAAACTTAGCACTAGGCGTTCGTTTTCAAAACGATGAAATGAGTCGGTACCCCTAGACAAGCGTCATCGCACAGGCGTAACCAGCTTTTCAAAAAATCAGGATGGCACCGATATATTTGGGACGTAGACTAAGAAGAAAACGGTCGTGAAATGCGAGCCTGCAAGCTCTACGTAATACGTCGTGATTTATTGAACCTAGAGATATGACTCGTTCGTATAGGAAGAAGTCTACATCTTCGAGAATAACTGTTCCTCGATGAAAAAGGCGGG